GCATTACAAAAATTAACACAACTGATACCCACCAGCTTGACCAATATTAGGAACTGATCTGGGGACATCCAGAATTAAAAGCATGAGTTGCATCAGTTTGGGCTAAAAAGGTAGACCCTACAGATGAGGCAAGAACAGGCTCTCATCCTCTGTGCCTGAGGGAGATGTGTAACAACTAGTGAGCAGTGGATTACATCAGTATTTAAAGAAAATATTTAGGGCAGTGGTGCAGGACAGTCAGATAAACCTGTAATTATTAGTATAATACAATACTGAAGAAAATATCATTGTGGTTAGTTTATCAGTTTTTCCTGAGAATTAATTTTACCCTGACGTTGCCTGGTTTGACAGAAGGCATCTATGATACAGTTAGTCTATAAAGTGTATCTCTACCCTGCCTCTGGCTAACTTCAGATTCACACAGCTAACTACCTCTTGTTGCCGGTTAGTATATAAGTGATGCTAGAGTGTTCTAATTAGAACTCGGAGCAGACTTCATAGGAACATAGCAAAGTTAGGACTTTTCCAACAAGGTGTATTGTCAGATCATAATACTTAACACACGGGGACTGGGACCAACAAACCCAATAGCTCTTTGCTTCCAGCCCCCCACACTACACCAGAGCCTTGAACCAGCTCTGATGCAGCGCCTGGGCTGGAACTAACAGAGCCACTTGTCATTCCCAGCCCCAGCACACCAGAATTTTCAGGGGCTATGGCACTTAAAATATGTTTTATTTAACCATTACCAAGTATAAACATTACCATGCAAGTGCTCAGAAAACTTCCTGATTTATAGTAATGCTTACTACGATCTAAATAAAATGCCTCATGAGTGTAATGTGCGACAGGATCTCAAGTACTAATCCAATAGAGATAAAGGGCTCACAAAAGCTAATCCAGGTACTGGGTTAAGAATCAATAGTCCCTGTTTAGACCATACTTACACAGACTAGTCTGTGGATGATTTTCTGTTCTTCAGTTTTACATTCAAGTTTGTTTTAAAATGTTAGTTTTATATAAGCAGCTACTCCGAGGTCAGTGATTTAATGTGCCCAGTGTACTAATTAATATACATGTACCTGTAGGTTTGAAATGTAGAAACGTACTGTGAGATAGGAGGGAAGTGGGGGTGAGATAACCAGACAGTTAACAATGCCTGTGCATTTATTTCAAAGGCAAAGCTATAAGCATTTTATTTAAAAAAACACTGATCCCAAGGGAGGGATAGTGCCAATCAATTTTCAAAGGCTTGCAAGTCTTATTTCTAAATCCAGTTTCTTTCAGCCAGTTAAAATCACATGTTTTCACAGTGGACTAAATCCAGGGAACTTCTTAAAAATTGGGTCATTTTTACATGAGCTGACAGGAAATCAGGAACCAGAGCTATGTTTAAATTATGCAGTCAGGACCTGTTTTCATGCCTGAATCACTTAAACAGCTTTACAGGAGTTTTAATCAAAATGATCCTCTACCCTCAAAACATTTATATCTGAGTGGCTAGCAAATATGAAAAATTTCAGTTTAGAGGGAGCATTTTAGCAGAGTGAGATGAGCTCTTAGTAAAAAGGAATTAAAATAAAGATGTCACTATTACCACATTTGTAGACTTTTCCCTTTTACATGATGATAATGTAAATGAAGTAGTAGAAAGATAAGCAATGTAAGTATTTCTATCCATGTCATTTATATGAATGACTTGATAATGTACCTTTCTTCTAATGGTACAAGACCATTAAACACTTTTCCATTCTAGTACTATGCTGACTGTGGTGTTGTAAAACCTGTGATGATTAATATGGAGGAAAATAAGCCCCTTGTCTCTTTTTGTTTCACCAGAGAAGTGCAGCAGTATCTTCCTATCATCTGAAACTCACCTGAGGTCAAATTTGCAGTCGAAGCTTTTGCTGCCTTAAAGGTCAACAACTATGTGAGGTTTTTCCGCTTGGTGAGAGCCACTTCATATTTGAATGCGTGCCTCTTACACTGCTATTTTAATCAGGTACATTTGAGGATTAGCTTCTTTCTGAAACCACATCTGAAAATGCTAATGGCCTCTCCAAACGGCATCCATTTTCTGGAGTTTTCAAGTGCTCAAGATGTAAGCTTGTGTATGGAAACTGCTCACAAACCCTTTCATTCTGTCTACTTTTCCCTTGAGATCAAAGATGTAAGGCATAATCCCCATCTTGAGACCAAAGATGTAAGGCATAATCCCCAGTAGCACATGTTCAGAGCCATTGTGGAGGCACCTTTTTCAGCCCTAGAGCCATCCAGGGACCTGATCAACCACAGACATAAGTAGGAGCAGATGTAGAGCAGCTCTAACCTGCATGTAGTAGAATGGTCACCTGAAAACACTTCCGATGTCTGGAAATCAGTAGGGTACAGTTCACTTGAGCTCTTTGTCATACCCAGGGTGCAGAATGCTCCTAACTCACTGAGGAAGGATATCAGTGTTCAAAAGCTTGCCCAGCCACTCTCCAAGCTATACATTTGGTCCCGTAGAAGACTTTATAAAAAAGTAAGGGTAAGGAGATACACAAGCTTTTCACAGTTACCATGTCAATGGGAATGGGAGTGGTTGCTGGCATGTTCTTAGTAGCATTGCTAAATGGGCAGCGGCCTTTGTGCTAACTTGGTCAAGAAAAAAATAATGATCCATAGGACCTCAGTTTCCGAAGTACTGAATTCAGTGATGTCTATGGAAACTCCAGGTGCTCAGCAAAATCTGGAAACTGAAAAGTGTGTAACTGTAGTATGTATTTGAGAGCATCAAAAAGAGCATGTGAGTTATCTGAAAAAAAAAATGACCTGGCAAGTCTCTGTAGAGAAGCCAGTAACATCTGAGTGCTGAGCTGGGGTCTCAGTCTTCATAACAACTTGTTTTATGGTTAGTTAGTCCTTTCCATGCTACAGGAGTTGCATCTAAACCAAAGGAGTTGCATTTGACATCTGCCCATAATGGGACATTTAGATCCATAGGAAATTTATTGTAGAAGTAACTTAGCTATGTCCGCACAGTAATGTTTTCTTTGTTCCACTGTACCTTTACTGACTTCCATTTTATACAATGGCTAACCTCTCAGATGTGAAGCATAAATCAATTGCATGATTATGCCGTATGAAGGTTCACTGACATATCTGCAAGGCACTTGACATAAATTGCTCAGCAGACATGGAAATGCCAGCAATGAACACTTGATGCTAAACTGCATTAACTGCTGTGGCAGGGATGCACAATATGAGACTCTTGGGTCATGCACAGCCTGCCAGGCAATTGCAGTGGGACATTCTATACTGAACTACTTTATTAATTAAAAAGGGTTTGAAAAGCAAGACTTTGAATCCAGTGCTTTCATAGTACAGTGATTCATTAATATGTGCATGCACCTGCACATACAGTCCAGTTTTCTACCTGCAAATATGCTGAAAGCTTACATCTGATCAAAGCAGATCCGAGTAGTAGCAGCCTTCATCTGAAAGCCTACCATGGAAGTGGCCCTCAATAAAGTTTAATTGATGCACCCTGAATGATGGTCTATTTGTGCAATACTGTAGTTATTGCAATCACAGTTTGAGGTGTGGCAATGTCTGGGTATGTATCCATATACAGCAAGTGTGTTTGTATGTGTAGACTCTAGTTTAGTACTGACCGTGTACAGATATGAGGCTGCTAGTTAGAGATGATTAGAGATTCTGTGACAAAAAGTGGTTTTTCATTGGAAAATGTCAGTTTCTTGGAACTATTGGGTTTAAGTAAAATTACACTAAGAAGTATTACAGCATACTTCTCTGTACAGAAATCCACAATGGATTTTCTGGTGAAGACAACAAGCAGAATAGCTTGGAGCCTGGTGGTTAGGGTATTCACCTGAAATGTAAGAGAGCTGGATAATGATCTTTGTTCTGCTTGATTTAGAATATCATTCTACTACATTCCAGGTATATGCCTGAACCACCAGTTTCCTGACTGTTGGGGTAGGGCCTTCTCAGTTTCTACTATGGAAGCTGTTCCACTGTGTATAAAATAACCACAGTATTCACTGAGAGGTGAGTCTTGCCATCTCAAATGAGTCTCCTAAGCACTGAGCTGTAGTGCTAGCCTGTCTCTGACCCAGAGAATATTTATTTTTGCAAAGTAGAACAGCTTCAACAGGAGAAACCAAGAGAGAAGCACCTCAGAATATCCATTAGTTTCTTGGTCAGGCCATTTACTTGGGATGTGCAAAACCTGGCTCCAAGTCTACTCCAAAGCAGGCTTGATTTTAATCTCAAGTCTCCCACATCCCAAGGATATGCCCTAGTCACTGAGCTATCAATTAATTTGGTTGTCATGTGTTTCTCTTTCATGGAAAAACCTGTGAAAGGTCTTGTATTCATTCCAGGGAGAATAAGTGAGGTTTTCCCAAATCTTGAAAATATTTGTGAGATGGAATTTTTTTCTCTCCCAGCTTTGCTGCCAGTGCCTTTAGGTATATTTAGTTTGTTTCTTTTGCACAGCTATGTGGAGCTAAATTGTTCAGCTTTCCCGGAACCAGAAGAGTTCCTGCAGGCTAAGAAGTCTGTGTTCATTGACCAGAAGCTAACTGTGGCAGTTGGAGAAGTTGTAAATGGTGGGCCATTACACCCACTAACTCTCCACATTCCCATGTTAAGCTTCAATGTGCAGAACTTACATGTGGGAGACAGGAGTACATCACATCCAGCCATCAGCAGTTGGGAAGTTGATCCAGATGGGACCAGTGAGTAGACCTGGACTCAGCCAGCAGGGCTTGAGGTTTAACTCTACCTTACCCAAACACCTACCCCCAAGGGAAGATTTGGGCCTATGGGGATTGGTTGCTTGTTAACAGTTGGAATTGTTACCCTTTTGTAGTGTTGTCTGCACAGAAAAGAGAAGAAAACTGTTCAGAGCCAATGGTACCAGTGGAGCCTGCAGCACAAGTTGATGCATTCCTCTCCCTGCCTGTTTGCCTCACTCCCCAACTCCTGTACGTCTCACAACTCGGTCTCTTTCTCCCTGTGTTGAGAAGCCTGAGCTCCTCCCTCCCAAACCTTGTGACCCACAAGTGGTAAGAAGCTTTGTTTATACAATCGCATTCAAATCCTTAAAATAACTATGGACTCCAGAGTCATTGCTATCAGATAACATTCACCTTACAGGCTGTGACTGCAGCAAACACTTGTGTGTGTTTAACATGCAAGTATTGAATCAGTGGCACTAGTCCTTCCTCACCATTAAATATATGTCTGTAAGATGGGGCCAAAGACAGCCAGTGTCTTAGAGGGATTATCACCAGCCAGCCTGATCCTGTCTTCATGCACTCCATTGTAAATCAGTAGTAATGCCACTCAGTTCAGTCCCAGACTTTGGTGTTCTCTGTTGGGCCTGTGGCTTCTGTGCACCAGCAAATGTAGGTGAGCACAGAAATGGTTGGAGAGTCAGCCCAGGTCCCTCAGAGCTGCATCCCAGCACTCAATGGAATGACAGCAGGGAAAGGAGATAGCAGAGTAGATACAATTGCAGTCATGCAGAGCGAGGAAACTCCAAGCTTAGGTGATCCCCTTTCCAAAGTTGTTGGGACTACAGGAGAGTCAGGGCCAACCCTATTCACAGTACTAGAGATTGTCTTGGAGGGTGCAGAAGGAAGATTTGTCAGTACCAGGTTTTCCTTCATCATTGAATTCATTTAACTGGAGTAAAGGGGCTGGGGAATGGGATTTCATTCAGGGTCTGTTGGATAGACAGATGCAAGGGGGAGGTTCTCTTTGTGCACAGCATTTGGGGTACAGTCAGCCAGGCCATGAATCTGCCAGGGATATGGCCCATCACAGGGAGGGAAATAGTTTGAAGTTGCAGGACTATTTACAGTTTCGGGGCAGATTGAATTATTTAAGCCAGGGGTATGATTTGCTAGTGGGCCAATCCCAATAGTGAGGACATTGTTAAGAGTGATGGAGCTTCCCTTTCCTTCCATCAATCTTGGGTAGAACCCTGAGGCAAGAGGCCTTGAGGCATACCCTACATTCATGACATTTAATCTTTGCTGAATCAACCAGGGAAAGGAAAAGGATCCCAGAAGGGTGAGCAACCAGTACATTAGACACAGGTTCCCACTTGGAAGGGGGCACAGAAATGGTAGTTGTCATCACTGTCAGCCCAGCCACTGCCAGTGCTGCAGGTAGTCTGGCTCCTGCCACTGCTGCTATCACCCAAGATGCAGGCCCTACTAATCATGTCTCTACCAGATCCAGTTGCCCTTTCACACCAGGGCATGGACCATTCAGTTCTTTCTGGATATTTATAACCAGCCCCTTGAATTGTACCCAGAAATAAACCAGAAATGCAGGAGACTTGAAATGTGGCTGTTTTTGATTTGTCAAGAGTTAAAACTTGTTTTCACCTCCAGACTATTACAATACAGAGGAGCTTGTACTGCAGGGCTTTGAAAAAGACTGTGAAGAAGACAGCATGCTGGAAGCTTTTCACACATTAGCTGCCATGTGGTAAGTCTGTTAACTTCATCTTCACTCCCACAGGCCCTGTGGGAACTGATAGCAGACAAGCTGGGTCATTTCAAACCAAAGGAGGGGGCTGAGATAGCTTGCCAGAATGGTGCCAGGACCAGTGTAACACAAACCTGGCTGAAAGCTTTCTTCGGCCAAGCATATGGAAGGACCCTTCCTTGTCCCTTTTTTCTGAGTAGAAGTCCTGTGGGGCTTAGCGTAAAGAGATGCTAAGGAAACATCTTCAAATGGGTTGTACTAAGTTATATCACTTTCTTTGTGCTATCAGAGCGCTACCCATATGTACTGGGAGGCAGCTAGAAGATGTCGCAGCTTCACATGAACTAATAATGACCTAGAGGGTGTGTCAGCAGTGTTGTCACTGCTAGCTTCTCAAGTGAGCTGAATTAGTGCACACTGGACTCCATTTTGCCTCAGCTAGACTGCTTCCAGTACCCAAGTTAGAGCTAGCTCGGGTATCTCTACAATATATTACAGACATGTAAACTCTTCATAAAGAAAGAGTTAACAATAAGTCAGGAAACAGTGGTGCTTTTTAGGCTGCTTGAAAAGGAGCTTACCAGAGAGACCAGATTTGTTGCATAAAGAGGTGTTATTTCTACATAGTCACTCTTCAGAATAGATTTGTGCTTTGTCTTGCTAGTGAAAGGATCCAGGTCACACTGGCATTCCAAGTTATAGTCACACTTTTGAAAGCTTTCATTGCTTTATATTTGCCCATTTTTAAACCATAGTTACTAGTGAGTTGGTAATGGCCTTGCTTTGAGCAGCATTTCTGATGCCACTGCAGAGGAACTCCTGGCAGAAGTGATGATGGAAATTCTGAGACAAAACACAGAAGAAGAATTAAATGCAGAAAGAAAGAAATTAGAAGAAGAAAAGAGCAGGGCTGAGGAGGCAAGGTAACAGCACCAGAGGTTAGATACACAATTGTATGAACTGCAGATTCAGAGGGCAAAAATAGCTGAAGGAAATAATAATAGATGCAAGACCTTTTCCTGTAGACATGGTCTAAATTCACAGTAGTCAATGAGAGATTCAGGGGAAGGGGCAGTGCTTGAAACCTGCTTTTTAGGCTCACACACTGCCTCTTTCTCTTTTAACTTACCAAATTTCACAAAGTCAGTTAATAGTTTTTACATCCATTAGACAGGAGCAGGAAAGAGAACTGTTTACAGCATTGCTGAGCTAGTCATTGAGTGCAGAACTGATGGAAGAAGTAGTCATGGAAATTACACAAGAGACGTCAGCCAGTGAACTGAAGTGAGTTCTAACCTGTTAGCAGCACAGATTGCATGCACTTTTTGATATGGCCTCTGAACCCCTTCCTGTGAAGCACAAATCTCATCCACTCTCCAGTGGGAGCCCTCATTCCCCTTCATCCTCTTTGCTGAGATTAACAGTTGAATAGGTCCCTAAGCCAGATCCTTGGCTGTTATAAATTGCTTTAGATCCATTAACTTTCAGTAAAACAGTGCTGATCAAAACCAACTGCAGGTGTGGCCAGGTGCGTGTGTGCCATTAGCTGTAAGAATTATAGATTATTATCTTTCATGGTAGCTTCTTACGACCTTTATTTGCTTACAATTAGGGGAATTTTTGCTTTTTCATATGAAGCGTTGCATTAGCTGTAAGAATTATAGATTATTATCTTTCATGGTAGCTTCTTACGACCCTTATTTGCTTACAATTAGGGGAATCTTTGCTTTTTCATATGAAGCGTTGCATAGCGTTGAAACAGATGTTGCTTTTCACCTTAGAACTGATTCTCTTGAAGCTGGTTAAGCTTTCCATTAAGAATGTTAAACCATAATAGTACATGCTTCCGAGATTGCAGAAACCTTGTGTGCAGTGTTTTACTCTCACTTTTTGCTTTCCATTGGGATATTTGTCTGGCTATTTTCTTTTATTTCCTTGCCTGCTAGATGTGTAGTAAGAAAAGACCAGAGAGTGAACAGTGACCTTTTATCTATGAATGTTTATACTGCCCTATTCTCCACAAATTTGTGGAGGAGGAGATTTTCCAGATGGCCAAGGAGATTCTCCAGGAGCTCAATAATTTCTTCAAATATTTGCAAAAGTGAGTGAAATCCATGCAAAGCTGCTGCTCTGGAGATGGTCAGAAGCCACTTAGATAGTATGCAAAAGGAATCAGCTTCTATTCCTGAATAGCTTCTCCATTTAAAATATCACCATAACTCCAGCCAGTTTCTTTACTGTTGCAGCTTGAATGTAGTGACAGAGGCCCTGGAGCTGTCTGAGGACTCAGGAAGACAGCACAGCACTCAGTTTACAATTGACGGTAGGAGGAAAAAGCCTCAAACTAGTACTTCACTTGGTGGAGTGTGTCATCTTTCTCATGCATAAAGAAGAGTCTGAGCCTGCTTATGTATTACTCTATGTGCATGCTTGGCTATAAAGTTGCATTGTAATAATGCAAGCTCTATTTAGTTTACGTCACAGGATATAAGTGAAGAGCTGTGCACCAGAGTGATTAAGGAGTCTTGTGGCTCCAAAGATGTGAGTTAGGGCCCTGCTCCAGACTTGTTCTGAAGTCTACATTCACCTATAAATGATTACCTGGTGGTCAAAAGTGAATCTGAATCAAAAGCGGTCAGATATGATACTAACCACATCACTTCCTTGTGTGCTGTTGGTTAACCACGCTTAGCCCTATGAACTGCTAGGCTTGGAAATGTCTTTAACCTTGAATCTTGTCCTTGATTCTGGCATCACATTTTACACGGTGCTTGCTTCAGTGACCTCAGTAGTTATTTCAATGTAAATCCAGAGTACCTGAGAGCAAAGTTTGTCTCAACTATATTTCCTTTTCACAGTTCTGCATGCTTCTTGCAGCTTTTGCAGTCAATATCAAGTGGTACATCTTAGCATATTATTCTGTGTTACAAAACCTATTTGCAACTTTTCTTTTACTCTCTCTCTGCTCAGTTCACATCTCATTTATGTTTATTCCAGGGTCTGTTGTGTGTTTTGATATATGTTCAAAGTTCTGGCTATACTTGTAGTGCATTTGAGTAATTTATGCAGTCTGGTGGCTTTTAATGTTGACATGGGAAAAGTATTCCATGTGAAAAAAAAACAACCAAGTTTGTAAGCCGTTGTCTAAAAGCATGGGTTTGGGCACCTACCCAGCCTTGAACTCTCAACTTTTTGGGCCAAGAATGAGCACCTACACTACTAGGACAGCTAGTAAGGTCAACATCCAGGCCTTTCCCACAACACTGCCAAGAAGAACACGCTTACATAATTCAATTCCCCACCACCACCACCCCACACTTAAACAAACAAACATAAATAAAAAAAAATGTCAACCCTTCAGGGAGGAAGGACCCTGTGCCCTGCTAGAAGAGACCTTAGACAGCCCCAAACACCCCCTTTTCCTTGCCAGCCTCATGCACAGACCCCGGGACACAGCAAAAGCCTCCAGAGCTGCTGGCTCCTTCCTGCTCAGGCCTTAACAGTCTTGGCAGCCCCCAAATTCAAAACCAGCAAAAAATCCCATTTTGGCCCCACCAACTTCCCCATCCTCAGAGACCCTCCGAGTGCTCCGATTGAAGCACGAGCCAAAATCTGGGCCTCGGCGTGGCATGCCAAAATCCAAGCTGGGCTGTCTGCTCCACAGCAGTTCTGCCCCCTCCCCTCTGCTCCTTGGCTGCAGCTTCAGCAGGGACTGCAGGCTGCTCACCCGCCTCCCCCTCACCACTCCCTGCTAAGCAGGAATTCCCCCCTCCCCTCTGCCTTGCTGAGGAGGGGTCTGTGTATTAGCTAGCAGACCACATTCTGGCTACCATCCCCACTGAATCAACAGGCAGAATCAACAAGCAGCTGTTAATGTCCCTCTGTTTTCTTAATTGGGTGATAAACACTGGTATCAATTCCCTGCTGGGCTAATCGCAGGGTCCTGTTGGAGCCTGGCCATGTCCACCGCAACATGGTGGCTTCTGTGCCACCATGCTGTGCTGTTCCATGCTGTGGAAGGAAGGGAGAGCTGCTCCAGTGCCCCCTGGCACCTAGCCTAAGCCACTGCAGGCATATGCCTGCATTATGCCTGCATTTCTGGGATGTCTGTCCCATTAGATTGTCCATCTTTTTGCTGTCAGTTTTGGTAAGCAGGTGTGTGGATCAGTAACTGAAGTCTAACCACGTGGTCAGAGCAGCCCAAGTTGACACAGCCATCTGTACAAAAGGAAAAATATACTCCTTTGCCCCAGAGCAGCCACTCTGACATGCCTGGAAAGTACCTTTTATGCCAAAGGGGCGGCCTGGGATGCCCATATGAACTTGTTGAAAAAGCTTCAAAGGTTCATAAAAGCACCCTCCACACCTTGTGCATGCAGTGGGAAGCCTTCTCCAAAGAAGGTATTGCCAAGCACTGGTGACATGGTGGATATTCTCAGAGCCTCCGTGTGTGCTGAAATCCCTTGTAAAATGGAGATAAGAGTGACTTCCTGCCTCCTGATGGTGTGAGAATATTAAATAATGTTTGTTTGAGAGTGCTTTTGGAAATGGAAAAGGCTAATCAAATTGTTAAGTGTCCCCTGGGGAAAAGTTCTAACAGCCTTGGGGTTGATCTAATTTATACTCATGCTGCTGCACCAGAGAACAGGATGCTCAGAACTTCTGCTTCCATTCGCTGTCACTCTGACTGTGGCAGGAAATCAAGCTGAAAGATCAAAAACTGAGCCCAGTGCAGTTAACACGGGATTAAAGTGGCACCACTATCCTTAGAATGAAATCTGTCTGAAAAGAGTGTAACTACAAATAAGGCCCACAGTGACAGTCACTGAGGGCTCCTATACTCATGCAGGGAGGCTGCTCCAACACGCTGTAATTACAGTGCATTGGAGAAGATTCATTTAATCACGGCTGCTGGAGCATGGTAATTATTGCGCAGCATCATGTGCATCAGCGTCCCTGCACTGAAAAATGGTGGCAGAGTGCTTTAAACTAAAGCTGATTCAACAAGCTTTAATTCAAAGTGCCACACTGCTATTTTTCAGTGCATGGATGCTGGTACACGTGATGCTCCAGGTGCTTTTAATTAGCATGGCTCTCAGAGCTGCGCTAATTGAAGCGCCCCTCCCCCCCTGCCTCCCGGGCAGAGCATGTCTGTAAATGTCCTGAAAGATCAGAGACTGGCTCTTTCTCCTCTTTTTAAATGAATTTACTAGGCATATTTAATCCTCTTTGTTTGAAATCACTTTTGCTCTCTCTCTTCTTGAACAGGCTTCTTTCTTGTTCATGTGCATCTTTCACTCAGCATTAAAGGAAAGAAAATCATTTAAAATAGAACTTGATCTGATTGTAAAGGTTCCAAAACCAGCAGAGGGGCGCAGAAGAGAAGAATCAGAAATTTGTTTAAAATTCAAATGTGGGTTGAGCTCTTTTGGTATTGCAGTGTTAGTCGGTATTACTCATGGCTGTATTTGTCAGGTATGCACAGACCTCATCCGGACCATTCAGTTTAGAGCATGACAGACTTCTTGTGTTATATATTTTTTTTTGGACAGGCTGGTAGACGCAGGAATATACCACCCCTGGCCACAGATGCAGGTTACACCTCACTGTCAGACCAACTCAAGCACTTACAGAGGCTAATTAGGGCTCACCAGGAAGAGGACAGGGCCTGTGAGTTCTACCTGACATCTCTGAGGGACATGGTAGAACTGTAACATTGGCTTCAATCCTGACTGTATTTTGGAGATGGGAGGAATTCCTTCTTGCAGAGGACTGTTTGAATGCCACATACAGAAAATAAAGAGTTCTTTAACACAGGGTTGCCCCAGTCTTATTGTTTCCACCCGTCATCCTTTTGTTTTCTGATCATCCAGTTACGCACATGCCACACACGCATGCACATGCACTCTCTCTCTCTCAGACACACACACACATTTTTAGTGTGACCAAATAACCCCCAAATGAATGTCCTACTCATAAAAATGTAGGTCTCTTAATTAGTTCAAAACTAAGAAACTTGGCATACCAAGAAAATCAGGCATTTCTACTACTTGCCAAGGACAAGCTTAAAAAAAAAAATGTATGTGCAGTGTGAGGGATGGTCTTCACTAATGAATAGATTCAAACTGCGCCGATCCCCAGTCCATTCAAGAAATCGGCAAAAACAGGGGTGCTTTATCACAGGAACACCTTTTAAAGACAGGATTTCCTGTGTTACTGCCGTTCTCCAAGGTGATTCCTTTTGTACCTGTTGGGAGACAGTGAGAGGAATCTGAGTCGTTTTGTACTCTCTGAGGGGAACATCAGAGGCCATACAAAAATTGCACAGAGGACTGTCACAACTGGGCACTAAATGCTTTCTGCTTGTGCCATTCTGATTTCCAAGAATGAGGAAGGGTTCTCATTGCACCATGTGAGTACACACCAACTGCTGAAACTTCCTTAGCCTGACGAAGGGTTTTTGAACCCAAAAGCTTGCTTAATAAATATTCTCCAACTATTTGGGTTGGTCTAATAAAAGATATCAAATTCACCCAAGGAACCTTGTCTGCCTGGTATTTGAATACGTAATAGGAGAGTAATCTCCCCAGGGGATATAAAACTTCTGCATATCAGATCTGTGTGAACATTCACTTGAATGTGAGTTATGAGAGTGTGATGTTTTTAATTCTTTCTCCCTGTAGTTCTGCTACAAAATCCCATCCCTTCTTTCTATTGAGTGTGCTTATTGGTGAAGCAGAGATCACCATTAATGGGAATGATGGATCAGCAAACTTACCCCATCAACATCTTGAGGAGATAAGGCAGTACTGTTGCTGTGGGTGCAAGGGACCCCTGTGGGTCTTGAGGAATAGGATTGTTTCTGGATCCTTGGGGAATCTCAGGACAAGGAACTGGAGAGTTTGCAAGTGAAGGAGCAGCAGTTATTGGTGTCACCTACAGGTAGCACAGAGGCATAACAAAATCAGGCAGTCTGAAACCAAACAGGCTCCTCAGCCATCTCTACACAGCAAGAGCAGGTGGTGTCCCTCCACCCACCACCTCAGCACTAGACATGTGAGTGCCCTAGATTTCTCTCAGCATGAGTGCAGGCCTTGCTCCACTCTTCAGGCACTTCTACACGTGCTCCGACACTTTCTGATTAGAACACGTTGGAGCTGATTCAATTAATTGGGCTCGATTTAATCAGAGTGCTCCAGCATGCTGCAGTGTCTTGTGCATTCAGCATCACCGCATTTCAAAATGGCAGCAGGGGCACTTTAACTAAAGCTTGTTGAACAAATTTTAGTTAAAGCAACTCCGCCACTATTTTGAAATGCAGGACGCTGAATACATGAGATGCTGTGGGCATTTAGAGTGACTCTCAAGAGCCATTCTAATTAAAACATCCCCCTCCCCCACCCTGGAGCACATGTATAGGTGCCCTAAATGTCTTTCTTAATTAAGATGCACAAAGAACCTATGACTGAAGATCTCTACAGCACTGTAAGTTATTTCCTAAATGCTCAACCCAAACTAGACTATAAGATTGTACAAATTCCTTGGGGAAAAACATTGTGTAGGAAACTGGATAAGGCTAAAATTACATTTTTTTTTTGCAAAAATATATATTTCTATATAAATATACACACACACATACCACCCCTGCCATGCCTTTACAGTTCTGTCTCGTGACCAATCTGGTTCACTTGACATAACACACATTTGCAGTAAATCATCATCATCCCCATTACAAAACTGCATCCACATGCTGCATGTTCATCACCATCTCCTTTACCCACCACAATCATGCAGAAAAGAACTGCCCTGGTGCCTCTTCCCTTCCCATCCCCCTTCCTCCCCACCTCTCCGCCATTTCACCAATCCTTCCCTCATCATTGTTGCCGTCATTGTTCTTTCCAATGATCTCATTTTTTAACAGTTTACACCAGTCTTTTCTCTTCCCTGTGTCTTCCATCATCTTCTTCCCATCATAATCTGTTGTCTTTTTGTAGTACACCTATAGCTCACTCAGTCCCATTCTGACACAGTCCTTGACTGGGAGGTTCATGTGTCTATACATGAGCAAGTTACCAGTCTTCCACAGGGTGTTCCCAAAGCAGGAGATGGATTGGATGAGGCAGGTTGTTGGGGTCCCTTGCTGCTTGGTGCTCCTTTAAGAGCAAGTGACATCATAATGGTGTAGGAACGTTCTAAGATTTCTTGTGGGCCTTTCAAAGTGACTCCTGCCTAGCTGAGGCTGTTTGCTACAAATGATTTTCCTTCACTGAGGAGGATGACAACTGAGGATAACGAGTGGATGAAGAGACTCCAGAAGGAAAACACATACCTGAAAAATCAAGTTAGGCTGCTCAGGGAGAACTATGAATTGCATTCATTATTGGGTCAACACTATGAGAACAGCAATCAAGAGCAAATTGCCACTTCCCATCCCAATATCATGTGTCCTGCTGCCTGTGCTCCAAGCCAAGGAGGTAAGGAGAATTCTTTTGATTAACAACCCAGGAACAAGTTAAAGTGCTTGCTGAACTTCCACTCACGGATGGTCACAGATTATTGCATGTGGAGCTAATCACTGAATTGCACATTCTTTTAGGTTGGCTGGGTCTGGCAATGGTACAGGGTGCCTGGTATTCTAGGTCCACTCCTCAGGTACAGATAATCTGTCTAGCCTTTTCTTCCTGAAGCATGGCATTCAGCACTACAGCTCAGTAGGAAACAATTTTGTGCTTTTAAATGTTTTGCTGTTCTTAATTTAGGCTGGATCTGAAGTCTCTTGACCCTCACCCACTTTGATGATCCAGCAGTTAGGACACTTGGAATATGAGGGACTGAAGTTCAAATCTGCCTACTCAGATGAAGAACTGAGCCTCCAATATCCCATTTGAGTGTCCTATCAGGCAATAGGGTATTCTAGAACTGAATAGCCTTAATCTCTCTTGTTCCACTTTGTATAAATAATTCAGTATTCATTGAATCAGGGACTTGGATGTTGGCTTCCTAAACCCCAGGCAAGTGTTATCATGAATGGCATGTGCCCTCGGCAGCTGGGGAGGCATGGCTGTACTGGCAGCAGCGGGAGCATGGTGGTGGTGAGCAGGCAGCTCCCACAGATGCTGCTGGCACTGTTGGCGGCAGAAGTGGTGGGGTGGCGAGCACCAACCAGGGGTCGGTGATGACCCGCAGGCACCACTGACAGTGTCGGTGGTGCCTTTTTACAGGGGGTGCTTCCCTGCACTCAGGGGGTGCATGTGCACCCACATGCACCCCCTACATATCGCCCCTGAGTGTTATAATATCTAGCTTATAGAGTCAGACTTTTTGGCCCTCTTACCTAATAAATATTTATTTATTTATGGAGCCTCACACCACAGGAGCTTTGTTGTACAAGTACCTGATGTGAACCAAGAAGGTCAAAGACTGGAACATTAGTCTCCCACATCCCAGGAGACTGCACTAACTCCTGTTGGCTATTCTGTGATGAACGACAGTATTTCTTCTCTCTGGTTTTGGCCATAAATTCCACTCTCATTCAAACTAGGATGCATGTTCTGATAGAAAACCTCAGGACTGACAAGTAGATATTTTCCAGTAGAAAAAAAAATTGGACAAGCTCTGTTTTGCAACCCAACTGCATAAACCTGAAAACTAATGCCAGATCTACCAAGTCATACTAGGAGCAACTGTGTGCTTTGAGGGGGAACTCTGGGAAATTATGGACCCTCTGAGTTACTCTTCCCTTCAGGTACTCTTGGACAGTAAAAAAAGTGAGCCAAAGCCTTTGCAAAGGGACTACAAAATTGCACATATTTCATTCATAGATAAAAGACAAGGATGTATGTTTATGAAAAAATGCCAAACACCTAAATGCAAAACCTTGCCTCCATTGCTTTCACCTCTCTGATATCCCTTTGGTTTTTTTGTCAGTGTTCTTTCAGGTTCCCAGGCTTCTGCACTTTTCTACTCAGTCTTGTTCTCTAATTCTCATTCTTCATTGCCGGAAAGTGATCCACAGCAGATTCTAACACCTTTCTGGGGATTTTCTGTGTGTTGCAGCAGGCCAGTCAGTTATTAACAAGCCACTAAGCTTTATCTGATAGTTTCCTTCATCTTGCTATGGCAAGTTGTTCAGTTGCATTCAGGTGCCAGTTCTCTATCCCTTAACGTAAAAAGAAGAATGTAAAGACACAGTGAAAGATATCCTAACATAAAACTGGAATTCCAGATCAATCTACAGGATTCCAACACTACCACACAACAATTGTAAGAGGGCAAGCAAACTCTAAACACAGGCACGCAGTATGAAAATGAGTCCTATGCTCCATCTGAGCCCTTCTAAGGGAAAAGTCTTGAGTACCAAAAAGTGGACCACTGCTGTAAGAGCAAATGTGTGACAGAAGATATTCATATTGCTTAATGCATTGCTGGAAACTGTTCAGATACCAGGGTGATGTGTGATGCAACCTGCTTTTCTGCAAAGCTGGGGTGACCTACCTCTCTAGGATGCAAAAGCCTGGGCAGTATATACAGAGACCATGGGTTACCCACACACTTTCTCAACCTTGCTGGTTTGGTCCAAAGGAAAGGCAGGTGCCAGTACATTTGGAACCAGCATGGCTGCAGGAGGTGTTGGAGCAAAGGAGATCATCCATTTGTCCATCTATGATGGCTCCACCCTTACACTGGCTGCCAACCAGGGTTAAAGAGCCCAGTCTACCCTATCATGGAGTGGACCTCAGTTCCATAACCTTTTGGCAGCATTTTCTCTGCCTGGGGTACAACTAGTATCCCTCAGTAAGGTGCTGTTCAGGGTGATGAGTGTATTTATAAGAACCTATATAAATTGACAATTTAAATGAACTGTGGACTCAATCTCTTCCCACTACAGGGACCTAGGGATAACAGCAGGCCATGACACCGCCAGAGCTTCAGGGCACAAACTTGGATGAAACTCAGGACAGACCTGGCATTTTTAACTTTTCTGAAACAAATGGAGTGGGCCAGTCCTGTCGAAGGAGGTGTCTTTCTGCTATCTACTTCACAGGCAAAAGCCTAAATAAGGATCCCTGTGACCACGCATTTGAAAATGTTGCCCTTCTCTAAGCTCTGGCAAGTGCATGGCGGACTCATGGTCATCCTAACAGCAAAGAAAAAATATCCATTATCAATGTAATATAATCATCAGTGTAATCAACAGCCTCCTTTAGATGGTGACACTGTGTGCTCTCTGTTCTCTCTTGCAGTTCAGCCTTATGGAAGGGAAATCAAAACACAAGAGACCCCAAGTCGCCTACATCCTTCCATGCTGGAGGACTGTAATTATTCCTCTCTCCACATTACAAATGAGGCACTTTCTAGGTCCAGCACCAGAACTGAGGCACAGGCTGCATTCAAGAGGCTCTCCAATGAACCCACTCTGTTTCAGACAGCACACAAGGACAGGAAACCAACCTCTGTGGCCAGCACTTCCTGGACCACTAGGATGGAGAAACAGCTGCAAGACTCTTTGGACCTCTCAAAGATAAAGAAAGTCTCATTCATTGATGGTACTTTACCTGGAGGAGATAAGGTTCCTAGTTGCTTACATGGCATGGGTAAGACCTGACTGTTCTATTGGAGCCTGAATTTTGGGGTCACCCCAACATCTGGGTGCCTTCAGATGGTGTTAGAGCACTCTCCTGAAGTTCCTCAGGATCAAGCCATGAGAGCAGGTACACGTGTGCCAGGCAGAGAGACAGTCTCTTCCAAAGTCCATGGCAAGCCCAAAATCTACGTTGCTTTTCACTACCACGTTCCATTTAGGCTCATATCTCCCAAATTGTACTAATGCAGCCAGGGCTTTCTTTACTTCAGTGTGCCCCTTCTTTCCTCTTGTTCTGAGGTGAAGCTGCACTTGGTCGTTGCAGCAGATGAATCTGTGCCTGCACAGCATGTCCCCTAAGTCCAGGGAAACCCTAATGGAATCAAAAGCAAGGCCTCTCCGTGTGATCCTCTGGCCGAGTGCACAATGACAGAAGTGTGTCAGTGTCTCCTCTCCTCTCCTCATGCCAATTAGGTCTTGCCCTATCCCACATATCCTCTCCTCTCCTCATGCCAATTAGGTCTTGGTCTATCCCACATCCCAGCCAATCCTGTCTCAGAGAGGAATGGGTCCAAAGTGAAAAGCCCTTCTTACTGCCACAAAATGTGAAAAAAGGGAAAGAATTAAGGATGACTGTAACATGGGCCAAGCCCTGTTACTGAGAGTAGGGCTAGGTAGTAGAGGTAGAAAGTTGCAGTCCTGGATAATGAACAGATAACAGCTAATTAAATAATGGCCTTCTGAGGTGTCCTCAGATCAAGAGGAGGAGGAGCTAGTGGCAATATAAGCCCTGCACCTGAGGCAAAAGGTGGTCTGACCTGGGCAGAGCTCAAGGAAGGAGCTCACTGCTGGGAGCTCTGGAAAGCACTGAAGGGCATTGGAGACTGACCCTGATTGCACTAATTGAAGGAGCTCTCTCTGCATGAAGCTGAGAGGCAGCACCAGGGGACTGGTGAGGGAACTGAGTAGGCCCAGGATGGCCCGAGATGGGAGAAGCCAGCTGAGCTGAGCAGAAGCCTGGAGGATGGCTTAGAGAAAAGGCACACCAGCTGCTGGGCCATGGGATGTTCCACACGTGGCTGGGCCATGGGATCCTCTATGTTTCTTTATTTTCAGCCTAAACAAATCTTTGTCTAACCTTGATGCCACATTTCCTTTTGCTTTGTTGTAGCTCACCAGCAACACGGGAACATCATCAGTACATCAGACCCCCTGGGTGAGCAGCAGGCATCATCACGAGGAGAGTTTGTTTCCTTGACTCCCCGCAGCATTTCGGATAAGGAGAGAGCGCAGACACAAACTGGGTTTCCAGGATACTTCAAAACATCAGAGCTGTTTTCCTCAGAATTTCCCCAAAGAAAGCCAAACCCCCTTTTTACCAGCACCGGGGATATAACAACTGAGAAAACACCTTTGGAGTCTGCAGAAATACCCAGGAAAAAGAGAGTCTGGTTTTTAGAGAGCCCTGTAGGAGATGAGATAAGGAAACCCCACACCTATTACTTAAATGGTAATGTGATTTCACCTTTGTTTTGCTGCTAATAACTAGAATGAGGGATGCTCTAAGCCAGCTCTAAAGCTGGGTGAGAGCAGGGGCATTTTAAAGAATGGAAGAGCAGGGGCATTTTAACCACCCATCACTTGCTCACACGCATAAAAGTGGTCACTTAAAATATGTTAATTATCACATTTTAAGCTCTGGTGTAGACAGGGCCACATGTACTTTTCAGAGGATCCCTGGACTTCTCCAACATGACTTTAAAATACATTTTATCCCACTGGAGACAAACCCATCAAGGAGGTGGCACTGTAATGACTAAGATGACACGTCTCTTCTCCATATGAGTATTTACATCCAAAAATCCATTTCCACATATGTTTGCAAAATAAATTCATTGATGGAGGCATGTATCTATGCCTCCATTGATAACAATTAATGCATGAGATTCGGAGATCAGTTATGACTTTGTGGATGGCAGTATGACGTAGTGTAGAAGCAGCAGACTCAAGTTCAGGAGACCTGAGTAGTGTGCCCAGCACTGTCCCTGCTCTGCTGGGTGACCTTGGACAAGCCACATGTCTCACTGTGCCTCAGCTTCTCCATCTGTAAAACAAGGGAAGTGATATTGAATTTCTTTGTAAAAAGCTTTGAGATGTAGGAATGAAGAGCACTATGCAAAAGCTTGGTATTACTTTATTATATGCTTTTATAAAATATATATGCATACACATAATCATATATTTATAGTACATACATGAATAAATATTATTTCTTCTAGTATTTGGCCTAAACCAAACAGTAAAACTGTGAACAGAATCAAAGTATAGCGAAGCTGTACAAGCCTTGTGCCATGAGTTATTGTCTTATTAACTACCAGCCCTCTCTTCATTGGCCACAGAGAGAGAGATTGATCTGAATGCCAAGAAAAATGGCCGCATAGTGGGTGAAATCGCTTTCCAGCTAGACAGACGTATCCTGGCCTATGTGTTTCCTGGAATAACAAGACTTTATGGTTATACAGTATCCAATATACCTGAAAAAATCAAACAGGTAAACCCTCACTATATTGCATTTGCTGAGAGAGAGAGTGTGTGTTACATCTTGGGCATTAGAACAAGAGTCTGAAAATCTGGAGAATTTGAGTGAAGTCAAACACCAGCATAGAGAATCCAATTGGCTTGCAACTCCCAAAGCATTGTTTTCAGTGTCCAAGCTTTGGTAAAATTTGTTCTTCCTGTCTTTGGAAATCCACTTCTCATCTGTAATACAGGAAACCCTTGCTATTCACGGATTTGTGATTTGCAGTTTCAAATATTCACGGTGTATTACACCAACCCACACTCTCTCCCCGCACAGTGTGATGACACTTTGTTACTGCGCTCTGCAAGTAAGGGGTGGTTCGAGAAATTTAAAAAGAGTCACAGCCTACATAATGTGAAATTGATGGGGGAATCGGCGTCAGCAGACCATGAAGCAGTATGGGATAACCCCCATAGCTTCTCAAGTTTTCAACGCAGATGATGCAGTACAGTATTTGTGGATTTCCCCATTCACGGGGATCTCTAAAATGCATCCCCCACAAAGGGCGAGGGTCTCCTGTAATCCTTTTGTAGCTCATTAAGCAGTTGTGAAGCTACCTTATTAATGACTGGGGGACTCTGCACCACAGGCTGTGGGGGTGATGGGCATGACGGATGTGCTTAACAGCAAATAAATAAAACACAAAGCTCAGCTATTCAGGCTGTTTAATAAGCCTCCAGCTGTGTTTAAAGCTTATATATCAAGCAGAGTCTCTTGCAGCATTTTCGTTCAGTGAAAAGCCTGCCTGGCTTTTGTGCTGGAGAGGCTATAGGAATGTGAAAGTGTCTTTCCGTGATCTTATGTGGAAACTGGGCCTACTGATCTGTGGCCCTACTGACTAAAGGATGTGAGCCATAGGGTAGGGTAAGCATACAGGTAGAGGAAGAGATTGCAGTCCAATGTGGATGTAGCTGTAAACAACACAGAAATTCCTATTCTGATTAGTAAGTAAATATTAATCACACCAGGCAAGAGAAGCACACACTCCTTCCCAGCTGCCATCATTGCTGGGATATCAATCACCCCCAGGGTGACATCCCAGCTAGCATGGTGGGACTTGTGCTATGTAGTCACTTTCTCCCTCCTGAGATTTGAAAGCCTGCAGCATCTTGTCTGATTTTAATGCAGTTAAGTCCTTTTACACCAGCAAAGGGCCTGGCCCTGGAATGTGCAGGCAGATCCCTTATGGGTTGTGTAGCCATTCCTTTATTGTTTGGGGGAGACCAGAGGTTAATATATAATTGGCTAAAGTGTGGCCCACTGACCAGATGAGGCCTGCAGAGCTCTACCAACCGTGTTGTAGCCACAATTGACTTCCACAGTCGCTGAATATATCTACTTCCTTTGCTGGTTAAATTCCTGATTAAATTCCCGTACGGCCCTGTTCTATCCCTTCTAAAGCTGTACTGGGACTTAGTTCCCCAGAGCTGCCAGGTTCCAGCTCTGTATTCACTAACCAGCAAACAGGTTTAGGTACAGACAAGGAATGAGGAACCTCCCTCTTAACAGTTTATGAATAGGTCTGTCTGCAAGGAGGTAACGGCCTCTTCCTTTGCTCTCAAACCTCCTAGGCCTCCCTGAAAAGCCTGGATGGTTTTGTGGATGAGAAGAAGTACCAGGCCATGACCCAGCACTACTTGTCCCTCCTCACACGCCTAGAAAAGATGGGTTACAACTGTAATGTTCATCCTGTATTCAGCGAATTCCTGATCAATACTTATGGCATCCTAAAGCAGCGTCCAGATCTGAACTCCAGCCCGATCCAGAGCAGCCCAAATGACCTCCGGAAGATAGTGATTGACACTGTCCCATCCAAGTTCCTTGGTGACACCTTACTGCTCCTGAACTGTTTGTGTGAACTTTCCAAGGAAGACGGTAAACCCCTGTTTGCTTGGTAGTAGATAGTGCTACTCCCAACAATAACACTATCCTCCCATAGAAACAAACTGGAAGAATGAGTTAAATACAGATGTGGATTTTTTTAACCCACTCATGAGGATCTGTCAGAGCAGTTTGCTCCAGCAGGAGATACTGTGTGTGTTTGTTTTTAATGTGATAAGGAATCTGGAAACTCTATCCTATGCTGGCTTTTCTTCAGCTTCTAACAGTGACTGTCCTCAGCCAACCAAAAGCTATCACTTCCCTCCACCTCTTTGCGCTCTCTTCACCCCACTAAAATGGAGGGATCAGCTGTGTTTTCATAGTGGTGAGGGCTTCCACTTGGAATCACAGCAGCATCCTTGCTGTGGTCAGTTCTCAAGTCAGTGAGAGATGCTGCAACAGATCCTTCCTTCCAAGGAGAAAATTAAATGCACACAATTTGCATACATTCACCGCTCCGGCTGTAACAAATAATTAGAGCCAAACTGGCTGGTCAAAGCCAAGGCCTGCTGCTAGTGATTCTTTGTGCCCTACCAATGCTTATGAAGCTAAATCTGTTAAAGTTGTTGCTCTGCTTGGGTAACAGTTAATTATTAGGTGGCTTGCTTTTGGACAACAGGTGCTGTCAGTGTTGTACCCATCCTTAGGCAAATAGTTCTTACTGCTAACTAATCCTTTTGGCATAAATGAGGATTAATCATCTGAGTAAAAGCATGCATTATTTTATGTATGGGGTTTTTGACTATTGCAGAGTTCACAAGTAACCTAGGTCAAGAATTCTCTAGCTCCTGCTGAGCAGCCCACACTTTCAAGGGGAAAAGCATAAGGGCTGTGATGCTGAGTCTTTGGAGACCCTGTACTACCAACACAATGTATTCCACTCAACAAGGAGACCAGCCTAATTAAAGAGTGAATAGCTGCATAAGGACTGTGGCAATTCACATATGGAAATCTTCCTTCTTTCTCTGATAAGCAGTGTAGCTCCAGGAGAGTGGTCCCTAACCATAGGTTCTCAGGCAATAATTCTGCCAACAAGACCCTATCATATTGCTTGTAGCCACAGGCAATTAAAAACTAAAAAATAGAGGCTGACAAGGAGAGCAAAGCATGAGGCCCGTGGCACGTTGCTTACTCATTACTGTTGAATGCCCATGGGCCAAAAAAAGTTGGGGCCACTGCTATGCAGATTTGACATGTCTGCCCTATTCTGCCAGGCTGTATTTTATTATAGAATGGTGGTTCGAAACTCATGGATTGCTGCTGGGTTTCTATTTCTCTACCAGTTGATTGCCTGAAAATTAGCCACAACAAATCTTTGAATCATGGATCTCCCCTGCTACTTTATTAAAGAATGTGCAAATCAGCCAGACTTATTTCTTTTATGCAAATCAAAGGAAAGGGAAAGTAATGAAGTAGGTTCTTTGTAGGACACATGACTAGATTGTTATTTTCTACTGCTTGAATCACTACTCCTGAGGAAGCTTGTAGCACTCCACTGCTCCTTCTCTATGTGTTGGGCCATCTCCAGTAAGGAAGTTTTGCAGTACAGTGACTGACAATCCTAGAGAATGGGTGCTGTGCTTTTGCTTTTGAGAAGGCTCAACCCCACTTTGCCAAGAAACTCTGGAACATTTGTGCTGTTGTCATAGACAAAGTCTGTAATACTGCATGCATGGTGTGCTTACACAATCCCTGAGTACTTGGACCTCTGCTGACAAGAGGCATTTGTAGACAATACAGGGGTTTAATTATTCCTAAATTGACGTGGTGGTTTTTTAAAAACACTGCTTCAATTTAGGGCGAAGTAAACCCCCGTGTTGTGTACACCTGTGTTGAAGCCTGATACTTACCTACCTCTTCAGCAGCAGGGAGGGCAGAGCTGCTGGTGGACAGAGCAGTCCCTGAGCTGCAGGGTGGGGGCTGGTGCTTCCTTCCATTGCAGCAGCATCTTGTCGTCCCCCCCGCCCCTCCCAGGCAGCACTTGCCCACAGGCACCTGGCTTGGGCAGTCCCGGGAGGCACCACAGGTGTGGAGAGAAGCACCAGCTCACCATGCAGCTCAGGCAGGCAGGCAGGCTCCCGAGGAGGGGAAAGATCAGACTTGCTGCTTTTTTTTTTCCTTCTGTGGAGCCTGCCTTCCCGGGCTGCTGCTGGGCTGCCTGCACAGTCTGCCTGAACAGCCCCTGAGCTGCACAGAGCCTGGTGCTTCCCTCCACAATTGTAAGGTAGGAAACTAAAACTCCTCAGAGGTGTTTCACTTTGCAGCACCCCAAAGTCATTTGCTGTGTCCCAAAGTCATTTAAGGCGCATTACACCACCAAATGTGCAAACAGCAATGCCATTAAAGTGGTGCAAAAGGCATTTAACCCACTTTAAACCCACTAAAAAGTGTCATCTACAAATGGCCTAGGGCACTTCAGAGCACTACAGTTCTAACATGACTATAACGCCTTGAGGCCCATTGCAAGCTTCATGCCTATGCTAAGATTTTATTAGCTGTGTTTTGTGTGAGAAGCTAAGGCTCACACAGACACCATAAAGTTTATAATCATTTGGCTTGTTTTGGTCAGAATATATAGCATAATGCAGCAGCTGTGTTCTTTGCAGTTTGAAATCTAGAAGCAATATTACTAAAGATGAATGAAGGAGAAGCAGTGCTGGGTTTGCCCAAGTCAGTCTGAGGCTGGAATTTTCTTGTGTGCTACTGAAAGGGATCATAATTCCATGTGGTTGGGTCTGCCTTCCTCAAGTGTTTGTACAGGCACATTATTTCATAGTTTCATAATTGTTAGGAACTTAAAGGGACCTTACAGATCATCAGGTCCAGTCCCCCTGCACTTGGGCAACAAGATGGGCATCAAGACACTTTTTTGAAGATCTCCATGGTGGATGACTGTACCTCTGGGGGGGGAGCCTGTTCCAAATCCTCAGCACTTGACTTGTAAAGAAGTTTTTCTTTATGTCTAGCCTGAAGCAATCTTCAATCAGTTTGTGCCCATTATTTCTTGTCCTCCCCTAGGGGGCCTTGATGAACAGATGCTCCCCCAGGCCCTGTTGTATGCCCCTGATATAGGCTGCCACCAAGTCCCCTCTGAGTCTTCTCTTCTCCAGGCCGAACAGTCCCAAGTCTTTCAGCCTCTCCTTATATGACCCGGTCTCAAGGCCTCTAATCATGCATGTGGGCCTCCTTTCGAGTCTCTCAAGCTTCTCCACATCCTTCCTGAACTGCGGCACCCAGAACTGGACGCAGTACTCCAGCTGCAGTCTCACCAAGGCCGAGTAGAGTGGGAGGATGACATCCTTATCTCTGATCAAGATGCCTCAGTAAATGCATGCCAGTGTTTGATTAGCTCTGCCAGCTATGGCATTGCATTGGTGACTCATGTTAATTTTGTTGTCAATCATGACACCCAGGTCTCATTCAGTTGTGGTGCTGGCAAGTGTAGTACTGCTGAGCCTGGCAGTGTTGTGGGTTATTTCTTCCCAGGTGGAGCACCCTACATTTCTCTGTAGTAAATTACACTAGGTTGAGGATAGTAATTACATCTACAGCATGCAGGAGCCTTCCAGGATGCTCTTTAGGTAGGAAAAAGAGAAGAAGGAGAGCACTTATTGGCCATTGTCAAAATATCTTGTGAGGGTTTCTGCACATCATCTTATTATTTCAGGAAAAGAATGGAGAATAAGTGGATGAAGTGGCCATGTTGGCATCAGAAGGATTGGCTAGAAAGGAACCTTCAGCAACTTCCACTGACTTCAAACTGTGAAGGATCTTAGCAATGCAAGGATCTTAGCAATGCTCAGCAAAAACAGAGGGAGAACAGGTGGCACAAGTGGCACCTCCTATGCCAGCATGGCTGTTTACACTTCTGGGAAGCTGGCCCATTGTTTTTATTCAGCTCACACACTATTCAAGAAGTTGCCTTCAGCATTTCCCCTTGAATGGAACTTAGGGCAATATTAAATTCAGGGAGTCAGAGCTGCCAGCTTCATAAGGGAAGAAAGGTAGCTATGGTAGCATCCTGGTCAGATGGAGCATTATTCTGTACATGGGTGACTAGTGCCTCCTGAGTCTGGGGGGCCACCAGTGGGGCACAACCTGGGGAGGGGACCCCCAGTGGCCGGTCACTGAGTGCGCCAGTGGCACGGTGGCAGCAGAAGTACCAGCATTTCCACATGTGGCACAACTGTGGTGGCAGTGCCGGCACTTCCGCCACTGGAGGAGCCAAATTTGGGGGCACGAGCGCTCTCCCTGCCCCCCTACCAGCCAGAGCACTCGCTGTGAGGGGGGGCACCAGCACTCTCAGGGGGGCCACATGCCCCCCTGTGCTTCCCCTACCCGTGGCCTATGATTCTGTAAATCATTCCACATGCAACAACTTGTTCACTTATTTGCTGTCATGCATCTGTTGTATATATTACCATCTCATTTGGAAAGGACATGGTGAAGTGCTACATTTACAGCTTGGCAGACAAGGATTCTTTGGGTGAAGCTGATATCTTTTATTACACCAACCCATCCAGAAAGAGCACACACCAACTGCAGATGCTTCCTCAACCTGACAGAGGGTATTTATAACCGAAAGCTTGCTAAGAAGAATTTTTCCAACTATATGAGTTGTTCTAATAAAATATATCAGATTTACCCAAAGAACCTTGTCTGCTTATATCTTTAGACCAACACAGCTACAACCTACACCCCTGTAATATTTACAGCTTTCAATTTTCATAGTTTCTTAGTGCTTAGGGTCGGAAGGGACCTAAACAGGTCATCAGGTCCAACCCCCTGCGCCAGGCAGGAATGGGTGCCGCGGTCATATCACCAGAGCCAAATATCTGTCCAGCCTTCTCTTGAAGTCCCTCAAGGTAGGAGAGAGTATCACTTCCCTTCAGAGTCCATTCCAGAGCCTGGCAGCCCTTACTTTAAAGTAATGTCTCCTGATGTCCAGCCTGAACCTTCTCTCTAACAATTTGTGGCCATTATTCCTAGTAACCCCAGGTGGTGCCCGGGGGAACAG